TGGTCCGGTATGTTGGAGTTTGATTCTGATATGTGGGCATTTTGCTTGTACGGAAGAAACACTCTTTAGCACGGTCGTTTAGCAGGTCATAATGCCTTATTATAAATAGAAAAAGATTAGATACCCATTTCCTGTAGTGTTCATATCTTCTGCATTAAGACGTTGGCCTGAAGTTTCAAAGTCCCATGGTGTGATTAGGTCTTGGGCGCAACAACGCCATTAAAAGACACTGAATGATTACAAGTATATAATCGACATGTCGTCGTTTAGTTGGCCTTCTTCGCGGCAGCCTTGGCCTTTGCAGCCTTCTTCTGGTTGCTCCGAATCATAACCATGCCGAGGAATGAGCCAACAACAGCCGAACCGAGGAGGATGATAATGACGGGGATGCGAATGGCCCAAACACGAGGGGGGAAGAAGTTCTGGAGAGGGTGATCGTCGTCGACAAAGGGCTAGCCAATTGTTAGTTGACAATTGTTCAATACCCAAGTTGGTAGGGGTGTGTAGTCGCATCGAGGTGAGGAATGAGGGGCATCTTACCATGAGAAGAGTCCAGATGGTGTAGTAGGTGAAGACGACGGAAGCGGCCACGAGCATGGCGAGACCGACGATTTTGTCCAACTGTAACAAGAATTATTATGTTGGTAAAGTTGGAAGCACGACGAGGGGCTGCCACGATGCCCCGGTCTGAAGCGCGTCAAGGGGACAGCGTGTAAACTAGGCCTTGACAGGTGATGCTGCTTACCATTGTCAAAGATGCGCAAAGCGAGCGAGCGTAGTCTTTGTTGAGCAGAGATGAAGATTGAGGCCGAGAAGCAGAAATAAAGGAGTGTCGTGGCAGTATCTTTTGGTGGTGAAATGGTTGCCGTCAAAAAGTCCAGTTGGCTTTAACTAGGGACAAGCTTCAGGAGACGTGACGACTAAAGGTGGGGCGCCACAGTTGCACAGCCACATGACATTGGAGCTCCAATCGTGGCTGAACATCTTTTTTCAAACTGACATTACTTCGCGCGCGACGAAGCTAGCAACGACATATTTCTCGGCTCGCAAAGAATTTCACTTTCTTACCCCTACGCCATCGAAATTCAGGACGCAGTAATCGACACGGCAGAATAGATTGATCGCGACCGTGACTGCGGGTGTAATTTTCTGACGATGGCTTCCGCCGAGGTCGATCTCCCGCGTCGGGACCGCGATCGCAGCGACAAGCGTGATGGCGATTCATATCGTCCTGCGAGAGACCAGCGATCAGCCTCTCCCAGGCAAAAACGAGAAGCTGCGCCTGTGCGAACCGAAGAAGAGAAACAAGCGGCTGCAAAGGCAGAGTACGAGAAGCTTCTCACAATGCGATCCGGCGGTACATATATTCCACCAGCTCGACTGCGTGCGCTCCAGGCCCAGATCACGGATAAGACGAGCAAGGAGTATCAGCGCATGGCTTGGGAGGCGCTCAAGAAGAGTATCAATGGTCTGATCAACAAGGTCAACACTGCCAACATCAAATTCATCGTTCCCGAGCTTTTTGGAGAGAATCTTATCCGAGGCCGCGGTTTGTTTTGTCGATCGATCATGAAGGCCCAGGCTGCCAGTTTACCTTTCACGCCGATTTACGCCGCCATGGCTGCTATCGTCAACACCAAGCTACCCCAGGTTGGCGAGCTCCTGATTCGTCGTTTGGTTATGCAGTTCCGAAAGGGATTCAAGCGGAACGACAAGGCTGTCTGCCTTTCCTCGACTACCTTCCTGGCGCATCTCATCAACCAGCAGGTTCAACATGAAATGCTCGCCGGTCAGATTCTTCTTCTCCTGCTTCATAAGCCGACCGACGACAGTGTTGAGATTGCGGTTGGTTTCTGTCGAGAGGTGGGACAATATCTGGAGGAGATGCAGCCGTCTATTGCCATGGCTGTCTTTGACCAATTTCGAAACATTCTGCACGAAGCCGATATCGACAAACGAACACAGTACATGATCGAAGTGTTATTCCAGGTGCGCAAGGACAAATTCAAGGACAACCCAGCTGTCAAGGAGGAGTTGGACTTGGTGGAAGAGGAGGATCAAATCACACATCGGATCGAGCTGGAGGGTGAAATAGATGTTCAAGATGGACTCAACATTTTCAAATTCGACCCAGAGTGGGAGGAGCACGAAGAGGCATACAAGAAGCTGAAGGCTGAGATCCTAGGCGAAGGTAGCGACGATGAGGATGACGAGGATGAATACGAAAGTTCCTCTGAAGACGAGGAGGACGAGAAGACGAAAGCCATGGAGATCAAGGACCAGTCCAATGCCGATCTGGTCAATTTACGAAGGACTATCTACCTCACTATTATGTCGAGTGCCGATCCAGAGGAAGCTGTCCACAAGCTCATGAAGATCAACCTCCCTGCCGGCCAGGAACCTGAGCTTCCCTCCATGATCGTGGAGTGCTGTTCACAAGAAAAGACGTACACCAAGTTCTTTGGCATGATTGGCGAGCGCTTCGCCAAGATCAACCGACTGTGGTGTGACCTGTTTGAGCAGGCTTTTGCCAAGTACTACGACACTATCCATCGATACGAGAACAACAAATTGCGCAATATTGCGATGCTTTTTGGTCATATGTTTGCTTCAGACGCCCTGGGCTGGCACTGTCTATCTGTCATCCACTTGAACGAGGACGAGACCACATCCAGTAGCCGTATCTTTATCAAGATTCTGTTTCAGTTCATCGCAGAGGAAACCGGCATGCCTAAGCTGAGGGCACGTATGACAGACGAAACCTTGCGCCCCAACCTGGAAGGCCTCTTCCCCAAGGACAACCCCCGCAATATTAGATTCTCCATCAACTACTTTACAAGTATTGGTATGGGTGCTCTTACAGAAGAGATGCGAACCTACCTACAGAACATGCCCAAACCCGCTTTACCTGCACCCCCTGCGGCTGATTCAGACTCTGATTCAGTTTCGAGCTATTCGTCGTACACAGGCTCTTCTTACTCGCGATCTCGATCTCGATCGCGAACACCACGTAAGGTCGCTGACCGGGGAAGATCTCTTTCTCGGTCTCCTGATCGAAGAAGCCGGGGACGTTCATACAGTTCGTCGCGATCCAGATCATACTCAAGATCTATATCTGCACGAGGCAGGGGACGCAGCGAGTCTCGCTCTGCCAGCCCTCCCCGACGAGTACGTCGCTACGATAGTGAGAGCCGCTCACGATCCCCTGCCCCACGAAACGGCAAAGGTCGGGCTCGCAGCGCCTCATACTCATCTCGAAGTCGTTCCCGCACGCCTCCACGTCAAGTACGTGGACGCACGGACTCATTCGCTTCGGAGGGACGGTCGCCGCTCCCTCCAGCTCGAGATGGGCGAAGCCGCTCATATGACTCCCAGAGCCGATCTCCTTCTCCTGTGAGAAAACGGGAGAGGTCATACTCTGGCAGCCCACCTCGACGAGGCCGACCGCGCGGAAATGCCGGTCCAGCCTCACATCGGCGCAACAGTTCTTCCGTCAGTGATGGACCGCGAGATGCTGGCAAGCAATACAGCCGCTCTCCTTCATACGATTCGCGATCCCCGCCTCCAAGAAGAGCCAGGCCGGACAGCGTATCGCCCCCACCTGCACGCAATGGTCGCCAAGCCTCACACTCGCGGTCACCTAGTCCCCCGCGCCGTGGAGCAAAGAAGTCTTTGAGCCCTGTACCGCCTAAGAGGAGACGTTATAGCGATAGTGTTTCTCGGTCACCACCACCAATGAAGCGAGGACGAAGAGGAAGTTGAAGGGAAGGAGAATAAGGAGCTGGAAGTAATGAAGGATAGGACTTGTCTATAATTAGGAGACCAGGTGAAGGAGTTGCATCATCAGCGGGACTACCAAAATTGTAAGCTTTTGAGGCCCAGCGCCATTGTCCGCGGAATTTTTTCAACGGTGAATTTTATGTTCTTTGTTGGATGCATCATGAGAAAGTGAATAGTTTCATGCTTCATAAAGGGGCGGCCCTGGTTGAAGAAACAGTGATTTTTCTATGAATATAAATACCGTTGACCTCTGGAAACCTATCTCAGATCCTCAGCTATCCCGCTTCTCCTATTATTTCTATCCGGTAAAGTCGTCAAATTTATCAGTATGGAAACTCCCCCAGGATCGAAGGAACAGCCCAAGGCTTGCAACAACGCAACTGCATTTGGCATTGGGATCATCATGATGGGCTCAAAGACGAGAAACACTAAAGCTCGCATCGGAACTATGGCTCTTGGTAGCGTCGCTATTGGCGTTGATATGTCTATCAAGCATGTCTTGGGGCAACAGAGTGGCTGACCTGTATTTAGGAAGCGCTGGCTTGGAAAAGCTGGACAATAACGTAACGATGCTCGCGACCAGACTCTCAACAGTCTTGAGTATGGAGTGTTCTAGCGTCGAGACTACGAATCCCTTTGAGGGTTGAGTTGGGAACTGGGATATGTGGATATGATGGTTGCATGCTGACCATGCTCAACTAAAAGGAGTTTTATCTTTTACGGGCTTTTGGTATATCGAAGAAGTAGATATCTTTCTAGGAGAATGTATTTACATATCTAGACATCTAGGCCGAAAATATGAGGAGAATAGAAGGTATTATCCTCAAGTTACCTCTGCATCAGAGAGATACAGAAGTCAACACTTTTTAAAATCATAACTTCGCAGAGTGTGCTGACCCGAACAAGAGGTTATTCAAACCTGCCGATATTGGCAGGTCTCATGATGCTCTGATATCGACGTTTTATCACCTAAAATCTGCAACCGCCCGATAGCTATGTTTCTGAGCTTTGTTTGCTAGGGCCTTGCTCGTTGGTGGCTGTAGTATAACAAAGGAAATTCTGTAGTGAACAACACTAAAAGCCGTTCTTTGTTTGTCCTGAGATGAGCGATGTGAGGTAATGACATAAGCTATTTATTCTATGTGCCATTTATTCACTCTTCTTTGAAGGAAAGCTATCTGCTTAGTTTCGACTTTCGACAACACGTTCAAACCTACATCATGGAGCTCACCACCATCTGCCTTACCGCTCTTATCATAGGTTTCCTTCTCATTGGAAACTCACCAATCCAAATGCCACGAGAAGCCTGGGGCTATACTCTTGCTACGGTATTCTTTGCCGTTATCGGAGGTAGATCGCGCTATCACGACCACATGAACTGTCGTACTGACTATGGCTAGGCGCATCATTCTTTGGTCAGATCATCCATACGGCCCTTCCAGCACTTCGACAAACACATGACACCCCTGAGGATTACTTTGAACATATAGCAAAGGTTTTATATCATGGCCGAGTCAAGTTTAGCGCCCCTGATCTTCACTTCAACCGCAAGTTTGGCATCTGTTGTGACCAAGAGGGGCACTGTATATCTTGTCTTGATCTTCAAGATGAGGAATATGGGGAGATTCAAGCCTTTTTGAGAATGTTGCACAATAGGTTTGGCAGGAGAATGAAAGAAGCTTTTGCGAAAAATGAGGAGGGAGGCGGCTATAGAAATCAAAATAAAAGGAATACGGACAGGTGGGTTACACGGGAATAGAGGTCAATCAAAACTAAACGCAATGATTGACCATATGCTAATATAAATCAATAACTCTGTTGGTTACCTACCAACGAGAAAAACTGAAGTTATAAATATACTCTGCTTGGCCATTTCCCCTTATTTCTGATGATAAGTGCCCAAGCCCATGTATCAATGACTATTTGGGGATTGGAATGACAGGAAGGCTTTAATGGCATTCACGAGTAGACGATAAACGCCCGGCGAAGGTAAAGATTAGTTGTTTGAGGTAGTCTATTTCTATTTTGGAGTCGTCTGTTGTGTTGGTTATTACGGAAAGTAGGCCATATGAGCGCGAAGTTCAGCATATATTACATATCATTACAATAAAGTTGCTATAAGAATGACGTCTGACCGTAATGATAGAGACATAGATATCCCAATTCAAATCATGTTGCTACTGTAGTTGCCGACTATTTAAACGTATAATGCGGTGTTGACCCCTGAGACCGATCTCACAGAATACTTTCAAAATCTCGTTCGACTTATGACATATGATTACAGTTGCTATAGCAGTCACTGAGATACACTTACGACGCGCTTTGGCGCTGATTAGGAGACCTGACCACTTCTCCTACTGGAGTCAGTCCTGTCACTGCTGGCACCTGTCAAGCACTTGCTCGGATGCCTGCCATATGTCCCAACAAAGCCTCAAATATCAGGGTATTTATATTATATTCTAAGTCACATGCAGCCCATTTTATCTGATTCACAGAATGTAAAAAAGCCAACATCGCAATCCCACAGTTCAAAAATAACAACACCAACACAACACATCCCAACCACAACAACGACTTTCGCATCAGGATGAATTCCCTTGAGCGCAACAAAACTACAGCTGAGTAAGCTAGAATACTGGAGGATGCCCCGAACCATCCTCTTCGACCTGGAGTACCACGCTCGGCAGAGTACTTCAAACTTCTTCAGAGTCGTCGCGAGCTGCCCGTGTCGGCCATGCGTCAGGAATTTCTTGACGCTTATCATAAAAGCAAGGTTGGTCTCCCGCTGTTATTGACTTCTTCTGAAAGAAAGAAAAATACTAAAAGCGCTATTTGAAGGTGGTCGTGCTCATGGGCGAGACTGGTTCCGGCAAGACGACACAGGTTCCTCAGTTCGTCTGGTACGATGAGTACGCCAGTGGCAAGATCGTGGCTTGCACGCAGCCACGGCGTCTTGCAGCAACCAGCGTGGCAAGCCGAGTCGCCGATGAGATGGGCGTTACCCTTGGTGAGGAAGTAGGATATTCTGTGCGCTTCGACGACAAATTTCGCTCAGACATATCTCGCACCGACACCCGTCTCCAGTACATGACAGATGGCCTACTACTCCAAGAGGCCCTTAAAGATGCAAACTTCTCGGAATATGTGAGTAATATTTCTGGAAAATCCGTTTGCGAAGACGTTGCTGATAACTATCAGGCCTGCATCATCATCGACGAGGCCCATGAGCGAACTAAGGCGACAGATATCCTCATGGCACTTCTCAAGGTCGCCGTGCAGAAGCAAGACGACCTGAAAGTTGTCATCATGTCTGCTACCATGGATGCGGACAAGTTCGCTCAGTATTTCGGCGTGGGACAGCCTTTCAACGTGCCTGGACGGCCTCACCCAGTCGATGTCTACTATCTTGAGAAGGCAACCCCCGACTGGATGGTTAGTGCTTTGCATACCGCAAAGCATATTACCGACAATATGCCTCCCGGGGATATTCTTCTCTTCGTTCCAACCATCCATAACGCAGTGGAGTGCTGCAAAAGGCTGAACGAAAAGCTTGCCAATAGGTTGCACGCCTTGCCCCTATATGCTGCACTTAGTCGCAGTGAACAAGCCAAAGCCTTGTCTCAGAGTACTACAGGGACTCGCAGGTGTATTGTGGCGACCAACGTTGCTGAAACCAGTTTGACCATTGATGGCATTGTCTATGTCATTGGTAAGTGATCCGCGCCGCCAGTCTGTCCCTAGTAGCTATTCCTAATGTTCAGCAACACACACTTGCAAGTAAGAGACCTGACATTAATCAATAGATACCGGTATTGAGATGCACTCTTCGTACAACCCAAGAGGTGATATGGAGACTCTCGAAAGCGCCGAGATTTCCAAAGCCTCCGCCAGGCAGCGTGCTGGTCGAGCTGGTCGAACACGACCAGGCGTATGCTTCCGCATGTACACCAAGGAGGCGTTCGATGAGGATTTTGCCCCCGACAGACCACCTGGGATTCTTTCTTCTTCCATGATCCAGGAGGTTCTTCAGCTCCTGTCTATGGGCATTCGTAACGTCGCTGGCTTCGACTTCATCGACCCCCCTGACACAGAAGTCTATCTTCGCGCGCTTTACGAGCTCAATGCCATGTGAGAGGGATATGATCTACTCTCCCTAGCGTATTCTAATTTGTCAATAGGGGATATATTGATGACCATGCGAAAATCACTCCCGTGGGTAAGATGGCAGCTCAAATCCCGGTCCACCCCGTGTGGTACAATGCCATTGTTGAGGGGCAAAAACTTGGTTGTGGCGTAGAGATGGTAGCTTTAGCTGCTCTGGGATCTACACAGGATCCGGTTCTCCTCCATCCCCCACGTGTCGCCGTCGCCCGAGTTGCCCATAGCCGTTTCACCTGCCCGAACTCGGATCATATCACCAATCTGCACGCCCTGCATGCGTACGTTCGCACGAAGATCCAGGACAATATGGATATGGCGCAGTGGTGCTTCGATGCCTTCATCGACCAAAGGGTCATGGAGGAGGTTCTTCAAATTCGCGAGCAGCTCAAGGCAAAGGTCCAAAGCATGTTAGATGCACCGCTTACATCGGCATCTTTCGACGATGAGTTCGAACTCAAGATCCGGAAGGCTCTAGCACGGAGCTTATATACCAACTCCGCTATCGAAAAAGGCGAAGATGTATATATGACAGTTCACGATGCTGTCCCCGCCGTCGTCCCCATGACCAGTGCTCTCTTCAAACAGGGTTACCCATGGGTAGTGTTTGACAAAGTTGCTTGTTACGGCAACAGAATTTTTATTGAAAATGCCACAGCTGTCGACCCAGAGTGGCTTGCTGTAAGTTTCACTACTACTCATCATGGCAAATGCTCACAGTCAGTTGTACAGGATCTTCCCTTCTTTCAGGACGGCATGCTCTCGGTCAAACGCGATGAGGCTCGAACCATTCGACAGCCTTACGTCAAGGAGTCACTAGATGCTGCGCGTGCTCGGTTACGAAGCAGTGCCAACTAATGCTACTATCCTACCCAAACAACTTAATACGGCACTGTCGTCATAATCCTCCTCCTTCTTCTTCTTCTTCTTCTTCTTCTTCTTCTTCTTCTTCTTCTTCTTCCTCCTCCTCCTCCTCCTCCTCCTCCTCCCCCTCCTCCTCCTTACCCCCTGAGAATGAGGATGCCTGTGAAGCTTGTTGTTATCCTTCGACACAAGTGGAGGCACCAGATCGACGGCTGGCACCTTCACGTGGTGATCTGGGTCAGTAGCAGAGAATGAGTGTTATCTCTGTGAAGCCAAGACCAGCCATGCATATTACATCCGGGTATAGCATTTATGGGCATATTCAGTTAAGAAGTTATCTGAAAAAGGTATATCAGGAGTGTTATGGAGTTGAGCTCGAGCCACTTTAGTCATTGCTTTATACCCATAAATAAGCAATAGCTAACAATATTATTTGGTTTTGATCAACCTCTATTTTTATGTCAGATCTTTACGTCGATAGCCCAATCTAGCTGTCTTTTTGCCATATGAACCCAAACACATGTTCTTTATTGCCAGACCATGATTGCTTTATAGAGCTTTTCCTAGATCGTAGGGTTCTCGCAGTTCTTTTCAAGCTAGCCCCCTACTTCTGAACTCTCCGACTACCATTCCTTCCCATTGCAGAATGGCAAGGCCAGTTGCTGTAGAGCTTTGTGGTGAGTAAATCCTAGGCAAGGGTGTGTGAAGACTTTATACGTTGAAATTTAAGAATGTATGTAGCTCGAATTGTTGTTTCGAAACTGACTGATCTGTTGTTACCATAACATCTTAAGACATAAGGCAATAATATCAGGGCCAATAAGGGTTACTAATGCTATATAGCAGAGGGACATTGAGTATGTCGTATTCCTGTACTGCCTCACACGGAAGCATATTATTAGCCATATCCTTGAGGTTGGTTCTGGAATCTGTCCGGGTATCAAACTCACAAATAATGCAACCACATTGATACTGCACAATTGGCTGGTCTTAGCTTCCAGATGAAATACCATCTGTACTGACCCATAACACCACGTGAAGGTGCCAGCCGTCGTTATGGTGCCTCCACTTGGGTCGCGAAACCACAAGCTTCTCAGGCATCCCTAAGATCCTATAACCCAGAGGAGATGGAGGAAAGGAAGAAAGGGTGGCTCGCGCCAAGAAGAAGAATTCAAGAAGAAAGGGTGGCTCACGCCAAAGACGTTGGTTGATGAAGGGCGTTGGGTGTTTACCAGAAGATGGTATGTGATGAGATGATGGGCATGGATGACTGTAATTTACCAGTCCCGCGATGATCCCGTCTGCTTGTTGATCTTGTCCCGGGGCGTCTCCTTTCGAGGTTTTGGTCGCATCTCGGCTGCGGTCGTCTTGCGATTCATGGCAACTACCACGCTCCTGAGTTCATCGTCACGAACAATGCCCCAACTCGCAGGGTCAACCCCATCAATGGTGATCTTTTTAGCAGCACCGGGCATACTACCATCCAAAATAAGCTCAAAGGAAGAACCAACAGTTGTATCCCAGGTCGTGTTTGGCACCATGTCTGGCTTGATGACGCGACCATGGCGCTGCCATTGGCGGAAGTGGGTATGATCGCCCCAGCCAGGCCCAACAATCGAAGGGGTCGTGTACTGCTTCATGTGGGCGCGGCAAGTGGCAGACGATGAACTGGTCGAAAGCTCCGATGGTTTAACGAAGGTTGTTGACTGAGACATAGGGGAACGTGCCTCAGGGTCTCTACCAAGAAGTTGGCCAGGCTGCAAATCAACACCACTGCAGAGTTTATGCATTTTGATTGACGAGGCAAACAGATGCGCGGTGTCCTTGTAAGGCTCGTCGCGATTCAACACATCCTGGTGTCTAGGGGGTCTTCGATCATCCTTCTGACGGCCCTCCGCGTCTGTAGGGATATCCTCACTGTGCCACGGAACCTAGCCGGCGACATCGTACAGTGGAAGAGATTCCAGAGGGATCCTCTTGCAGGTCTTGTGTGGCCTACCTCCTTTCACAACGTAGGTCCAGGGCCGACAGAATGGGTCGTTGTGCGGCGCAGGGGATGGAACAGGAGTAGAGTGTAGTATGCCAGGGCCATTGATGCTGATAATAGGACGGGCCACAATATCAGCTGCCTTGTACAACCCTTCAACCTCGAGCATATAACTCATGAAGGAGCTCACTGGGAGATCCGGTTCCATGGGAACATGATACCAGTCCCCTGGGAACTTAGTAAGCGCCATAGATGCGAGGGCACCGGATGAGAGAGCGAGAGCGTCCTTAACAGTATCAGCACCCTGTGGTGCTTGAGCTTGTCTCTCCTTATCGAGGCCCATCGGTTCGGGCGCAGGCTTGGGATCGGCCTGTCGAGTTAGTGTACACAGACTAGAATTCGGGCGCTGAAAAGAGACGTACATTTGGAGACTTGACAGGGCCAGTTTTGATTGGGCGTCCCCCAATGTAGGCTCCGGACAACTCAGCCCTGGCTCGGGCTGCGGTGTGGCGATCCGGGAACTGCACATTGCACCAGCCTTCATGAGGATGGTCGGAGTTCTTGGGCGGGGGCCAATAGACAATGCAGTTGCCAAAGCCCTTGTCAGAGAGGGCTGTTGCGAACTGGTCCTTGGTGATTGTGAACTTGATGTTGCCACAGTAAACAACCTTCTCACACGCAACAGCCGCCATGTCGCGCTTGTTCCAGCTTTCTCGAGTAGGCATTTCTAACCACATTAGAAAAATACTTCTGTAATGATCAGATATGCATACTTACTTAAAAAAGTTGTAGAATGTGTGTTGTGTTGTGTTGTGTTAGAAAATAAGAGAGAAGACGAGCAGAAGACGAGCAGAAGACGAGCAGAAGACGAGGATCAAAACAAGAAAGTGCGGAGATTCAGGGCACAAGGCAGGGCACGAGTTGTAAAAGTGGCAGGCATCTCATTGTGTGACAGTGATTCAGTGACAAGTAGGCAACAAGGCATCACCTACCTACCTAGGTACCTAGGTACCCCTCGGGGTGTAAGAAGACTCCTGACGTTAAGTTAAGGTGCTAAAAATACTTAGTCTAAGATCCTCTAAAACCTCACTAAACTTACCTAAGTTTACCTAAGGCTTTTTGTCACCTAGGATAAAGGTCCTAAGTTTTATTGCATCCCCTTGGTACCTACCTACCTATCTAAGGTACCTTAGGTAGGTATTATTCGCAGTGGAACTGCATGACACGGAACGCCTAAACGGGTGCAGAAGTACTTAGGCTGTCTACGATATCTTCACTTTTGAAGTGCACATAGTTGAGATTCAAGGCGGATAGGGGTTGTATAATAATGTATAGCTTTCAGATCTGTACAATCAGCATAAAACGTAAAGAATACGGGGACACTATTCCACAAAGACAGAGTTAGGTAAATATACAGAATACCTACATATATGATAACACATAAAATCGAGAAGGCGTTGAGAAAATCGGGAGTGTCAAACTGATAGCCACCCACTACGTCTAGCAACAAACCTGAAAACATGTAAGTATATAAGGAAATCTAACTTGGGCTCTAACTGCAATTTTAAAACTGGTGATTGTACAATCTGTTGCCCTTAATGCTCAAGTGTTCTGCAACACTGTCATCTTGCAGTCTGCCTGCAACATCAAGCATCCTAACTACTAATGGAACGGATTATAGAGACCAAGTACCATACGATGATGCACAATTTCAGTCGAGGTAAAGACCCCAGTAATCTTATCCATGGCCTTCATTCCTGTGGTCCAAACAGGCACAAAGATTGAATGGGTGCGTTTATCTTTATTGGAGATGAAAATCATCCATTGCCATCTATCAAACTAAGTGCCATCTAGGATCAAAATATATCCAGACCATTGCCGAAATTCTTACAGTCAGTCGATCGAGATAGGATGCTGATAACCAATATCGTTCACTGGCCAGGCTTATACTGTTCCCCTAGTCCGTCGCCTCAGTTTTTCTTCGACTGAGAAACCTTTTTCTCAGCATCGTTTCCACCATCGGTTTCCTCCTGGTCTCCGTTTGCGCTGTGTTCATCACCCTGGCCTTTGAGCTTGCCCTTGAGCTTGGCAGCAAGACCGCTCGCGCCGACTATGGCTCCTGAGGCCTGAACAACCCCGTTGACAATAGCAAGGCCGGCGCCTCCAGCTCCAGCACTCTGAAGAATGGCGAATGGGCTACCAGCTACGACACTGCCGATACCGCTCTGAATACCAGCGGCAGCCGAGCCTAAGATATAGTTAGAGTGTAAATCAGATATAAGAGCAGCTAGACTAACCGGCAGCGATACCACCAACACCAAAGCCAAGGGCACCCAAGGCTGGCCCAACGACAATAGCAGGGGCGACGATTAGTGCTGTCCCAGTAACCATCATGGCTGGTGAGGTCATGTTCTGCAGAAATTGCATTTTCCGAGTTGGAGACTGACTACATCTTGTGGTTAGCAGGTGTCTTGAGTCGATTGAGGTGTCACTCACTCACAAGACAGATAGAAGATACGTAGTCTATAGATAGTCCGAGCGGATTCTTCTGGCTCTTGGGGTGTTTTGGGATGAGAAAAGGAAAGGAATCAGAAATTAAAGCAGAAGAGGAATATGGCTGTAGATAATAACCAGCTGGCAGGCAACTGCACTGTTGGTCCATTCACTACCATCGAGTTTGGTGGCCCAATCCACGACCTACCTTACCTGGGGCTGTGTAAACAACAAAGGCCAAGTGAATGCGGCCTCAGGTAAGTGAATTTCTTTACAACCAACGTAAAGCAATTAATTCAAGATACTCTCTTATTGGCGGTATATCCAACTCGGCCAAGGAGCACGGCTAGCCCATCAGCTGGAATAAGTAACCGCCCGTTCAGCCTTTCAATACTTGACATAACTAAGAAAATGAATTGAAACATGTTACCTACCTACTCATCCAAAATCACAAACTGAGTCTCTATTGGTTTCGGGCCTTAAATAATAAAACACCACCTCGTTTTGCAAGCCCTGTGTCTCTCAGCCAAGCATTCACAGACGCCTATCAAACTGTTTTAGAAGATATTATTCTAAACTTAGGGGATTTTAGAAGATGTTTCCCTAATTTATGGCATGTAAGAGAATGTAACAAGTGCCGTCTACTAGCAAGGCCATACTTTCAATTCTTTATCCTAGTTCAGCTCAGTGTTATCCTCCTGGTTACCACCATCCGCCTTTGAAACATCTGTACTATCTAGAGGATCAGATTTACAATACTTGAAACCATGTTTCCACTTGGAAAATATGGAACCAAGACCAACTCCGATCCCAGTTTCTTGTACAAAGCCACGAATAACGACGGGGCCTAGGCCGCCAGTTGCATACGACTGACAGTATCCCGGGTTCCCTTTTACATATTGAAGAGTGCTGTTAGTTGCCTTATTCCACTGTCAGCATATGGCTGTTAATGCCAGTGTGCTCGGCGACACTCACCGCCAACAGAATCAATTTGACTCATGGGAGAATGATAGTTGTTTCTGATTTTAAATCGACGAATGTGGGTTGTTTGAGATCGATGGAGGTTGGGCAGGTCGTTTCCAAGTTATGGATGACCGAGTGTTTGAGATGAGCGTCAAAAAGAGCGTTGGAAGTTGATGTAGATCATCGTCGACACTGAATGACAGAAACCTGCGGTTCTAGAGTAGCAATACGCTAACATCTTTACTAAAGGCTCACACATGCAATAGGCAAACACCGTAGGAACGGTCACGTCCTCATTAGTGAGGTTGTATACGATACCTTAAGCAGAGATAACACTGTATTTGAATTCCAACTCTGCTCTACAAAACTGTTCAGAAAACCCAGAGGCTTTCAGAAACGTGAGATGAAGGTCCTAAGTCACACTGTCAAGAAAAACTGCCAAAGAGAAAGAGTTATCTATCGTCATTTCTCAACCGGTATAAGTGCCGTTCCCAGATTCTCTTGCTTGGCCAAAAGCCGAGTAAGCGAAACGCGCAAATGCGCACGTCGTTAGGGCAGAAAACATATTGGCGACACTTCCCAAGATCTCGACTCCGTATCCACCCATGGCAGCACTCTGAAAGATTGCAAAGAGGCTTCTAGGGGCAACGTTGCCTATCAAGCTCTGAGCCCAAGACGCGAATGATCCTTAGTGATGCCCAAGTTAGCACAGTGTATTCTTTATTTGAGAGTATTTGCTAACCTAGTAGCGGACCGTTGGGTGTAAAGCCAAAAAACTGAAGGATTAATGTGGTGAACCATGCCATGGTGAAAATGGTGAGTCAGTGCTTAAGGGAGTGAAGCAATCTAACGTAAGGGACAACGAGGTAGTTGTGAGGTTGGTTGGTCTTTTGAAGGCTGTTGCTAGTTTCTTGTTGTATGTGTTCGAGACGAAGAAGTTGTAAGTAAGAGAAGAGGTTTAAGCTGGTGCTGGGATTAAGAAGGGGCTCATATCTCAAGTCAGGCAGTGGCGTTGACATTGGCACTTCCACCCAGACTGTTTGGCTTGAGGTGACCTATTTCAGTTGTTGCAGTTTCGTTATCCGTTTCTTTGTATGTCTAGTCAAGCTTTATAACGATCATGTTGAGTTTGCACAAATACAAGATACATCAAGACTGTGGCTTTGCTTCAATACACTAAGAAACAAATAAGGAAGAGAAACAAACAGCAAGGCCCAAAACACTTTCAGTTGAGAACGATCCGCTAAAAATCAATCACTCAAGAGTTGAAATATTCAAAGTTAACAAAGATGTTTATACACAGTGTACAACACCCCATATGCTCCTTGGGTACTCGTTTTGGCACAATTCAGGTTAAAGTCAAATATTAATGACTTTCCAAGGGTAAAGGATGTTAGCTACTAGGTAATACAAGGAGGCCCAAATCTGATATGGCGGTCTCATCATAACTATCCTTGCCATCTCAAACTGAGCATGGAAGCTTGGCATTGCGAAAGATGAAGAAAGCCGGTTTCTCAAGGGAATGCCAAGTTCCATGCTGATCGCAGAAAGTCCCTCCGTAACACACCATGGCAGCTCTAAAGAATTCTGACAAGTCGCTGTCAAAAGAAGCATTGTTCAACGGACTCCGGGCCGAAGGCGAAAGTAAACCTAAGTGATATGTGATTAGTAGATTCCGTAGTACAGAACACAAACCTTTACTAACTTGTGATAGAGCACATATCCTTCAGATGCCAAATTTGCACTAGAAGCGCTGCCATGTTGTCCATAGTCCAGACTCAGGGGTTGAAGAAACTTGGTATATGGGACGGTGGACGGTGTTGTGGTAGATATAGTGTCTTGAGCTAAGGCTTGCTTCTGCTGGGTAGATAGTGTTCCTGTGTGTATGATAGAAGATGAAGAAGAGAAGATAGACCTGAGATGGTGGGAAGTTGAATAAGGAGCAGATCAAGGCAACTTTCGAATAGACACCTGCTCTGATGCCCCTGTACCTCACCTTAATATTGCATCTCGTCATTGTTCATTTCATTTGCTACAAACAAAGTTCAACGTGCAGTTACCCATGCAATACACTTCTTTCTTCTCACTTGTGCTTCTTGATACACGGCAGTGAAAACAAGTACATATCCGGCAACAAGCATAATAACAAAGAACCAAACAACAAAATTTTCTATCCTGGGCTCGCGTGTAACCTTTTAATGAGGCCACTGATGGACTTACAGCACTCCCTATGGCAGTTCCGCCTTGGTGGCGTTGAAGATAAATGGACATATAGATGCTTTTGCTGACATTACATTTCCTACGAGACAGGTAACCTGGCTGCACTTATGCCTAGTTAGGTATGTAATCCCTCCTTCACTCATCATGTTACACAACATGCTTAATCCCGATGTGAATATATGAGTTTTGCCTGAATCGCTCGTGATTTCGGGACATATTTGAGGAGGCGCAGTTTCTCAAAGTCTTAGTACTAGAATATTAATTAATCTATTTTATGTACTCTTCTATACATAAATAGAAGGAATCTCAAAGTTTATTATCTTTGTCACACTGTGGTAATATATTAAATGAACCAGACGACACTTGAATCCTTTCACGTTTGTTCAGCCTGCATTTTGAACGAGATATATGGAATCCAAATCATTATTGTGAGAAGCTATTTCTTTTGATCTATTCTAAGAATTTCACCCCCATACGCCGTCTATATAAACTCGTCATAATCATAACTCTATCCCGCCAAAGCCTCATCTCGAGCCTTAATATCTTCCTGCTTACCCTTATCCTCCTGTTTCTGTTCCTGCGCCTTGACCTTGTCCTTCTTACTCATAGTCAAAGCTCCTTTCTTAAATGCCTCATTCGGTAGAGGTCGGATAATCGGTTGAACCACCCACCAAGGTCTTCGGCATCGTCTTTGTGTGCCTACTGAGCTCTCAGTCTCGGGGGGGTCCTCCTCACCCTCAGCCAACGGTGTCTCCGCAACGCTCTCGCCATTGGTGCGCTCGTACTCAATGAGGCCTTCTGCAACCTTGCGCTCCACTGCAGACAGTACGCGCTCGTAGGCTTCCATGTCGCCTGCTCGGCTCTTGGCCAGCATGTCTCGCACGTCCGTGTGCTTGGAGACAAAGTGTCGCAATAGATGGAAAAGATGAGGTTGCATGGCTGACATGTTGGGGCCCTGTTCTCCCTTCTTGCCTAGATCCTTTCTTCGCTTCTTAGACGGTGGCTCATCTTCAACTATCTCACTCTTGTTCATCCATTCAGTATCGTCTCCAGGCATGAACAGTGGTCGGCGCTCGATGTGCTTCTCTCCAAAAACGTGTTCGTGGAGGATGTCCATATATCGCCTGAACACAGCATCAACTCTGTAACCCCCTTTTCCATCTTTTCCTCTCCAGTATTCTCGTCCCTCCTCCCCGACTGGTGGCGGCTTTGAGAAGATAGCTGGGTCGCTGAGGTTGCCCTCGGCGCTCATCACGCCATCAGCTCCTGTAGCCTCGAGACACTTCTCGATATCTCCCTCCTGAAGGATATTTCCATTCGCGAAAATGACTGTCTCCTTGGGTAGGCTGTCTCTCAGGAATCGAATCATCTTCCACTCAGCCAGGCCAGTCAAATGTCCCTTCTGCTCCCTTCGTCGGCCGTGGACAGTGAGGATGGATGCGCCAGCCTTGAGGACATTTTGCGCGTATGCCAGGGTCTCCTCCTTCGTGTCCAGGATTCGAATCTTGGCTGTCACAGGCACCGGCAACTCCTTGTGCAAAATGTTGATCAAGCGGAAGATAAGATCCTGGTCTTCCTGGAGGAAGGCACCATACTTTCCCTTTCGCGCGATACCTTGGGGACATCCGAGGTTCAAGTCAACAGCATCGCAGTAAGGGGCAACTTGCTTAGCGGCAGAAAGGAGCGCTTCGGGGTCGTTGGCGCAGAACTGGACGAATAGCGGTCGGTCGATAGAAGGGTTTCCGTCAAGCCAGGGAGTTTCGCCATCAGTTTTGAGCGATTGGAAGTGTGCCTTGCGATACTTCTCATCCTGCGAAAAGAGTCGAGCGTGGAGCATGGGTGTATAGGCAAGAAGACTCTTTTGTTCGGTGGGTGAAATGAAACTTCGAGTCAACATGCGCCATGCCTGAGTTGTCAGTCAATTCACACATTACCAGGTCGAGCAATAACTTACAAATTCAGATTGATCTACCATCGGCGCAACGATGAACTTGGGGCTTCCAATAGACTCGTAGAATGCTCGTCCTTGAAGCTTGGTAGGGCGCTCCCCCGCGCTGGTGGGGTTCTCCTCTGTGGTCGTCATTGTAGACATGCGCTGGGCGAAACAGACAAATCGGGGGCTGAAAATAGAAATACGTAGATATCCCGGACTCTTCAAGAGCCAGGCTCGTCGTGTTAATCGATCCAGAGTGTTTAACGAGACGTGGCGCAAAGTGGTTTAGAGGGAGTGCTCACAAGCTTCGTAACTATGACCACCAAAATAATTTTTTTCCAACGCCTTACCTCCGAGTAATGTTGCGGCCCGGATGTGGGGGTGGGGGGGATGATTGTGGCTGAAGAGATCGCGGGGACCTTGAGGCTTAAGCCTTAGGAATTTCCGGATGATCGAATGAGTGGGTACAGAGGACAGGTACGTACTCCGTACATGTACCGTTTTATTCTTCTCATGTACCTCCAATAGTGGATCCCACCTCTTTAAAGGTGCCAAGTAACCACCTAGGTGCCTACACCACAAATCATGTATAGTACACAAGTACCTACCCTTCCCTTATCTGTAAATTGATTTCGATCCCCTGAATCAAATGAAGATCAAACAAAATCTGAAGTGTACACGCAATCGATGTTAGTGATCATGTTAAGCCCCTGATGCCTGCATCTCGAACGCCAACTCGGAATAAACCTGAGTACTTATGTTGATGAGCTTAAAATAAGGTAAAGTATTGTCTTAGATATTCACAGGGCGACATGAAATGTTCCGGCCAGGCAATTAAAAACTTAATGATGTATCCATTCCATTGATTGATTGATTTTTTTTTTTTTGATTCATGTCGACAAGACTAGCAAATGATGTTCTGTGAATTAACGCGGTGTCCCCGTTTCAATGGTTACACTGCTGCAAGCCCAGAAATATGTATGTATGTAATTTCCATTACGCTCCATTCCTCGTCGGTCCCAGATGAAAAGAAAAGAGAGATGAAGAAAAGCAAAATTAAAGAAATGTATGACTCTTTGGTCTAAATTCCACATGACATGTAGAGACTGGTTAGAGTGATCAACACCATTAACACCGTACAATGCTGTCCCAAACGCCCAAGCGGTTAATATGGCTGCTTGCAATACAAGATTCCGGCTTGATCTCCGGTATCAGTCAAGGAAACAAAACACTGCGCTAACAAGCTTCGCTCCTCGTGGTGGGCATTGCCATCATCAGAAAAAGTGCGTGTAAATCTTTGAGTTTTCGTGAACCTCCATTTCCTATGACCTATTAGTAACTGGTGTGCCGTTGGAATTCTCATTGTCAAAACGTACCATCTTGAAGGTGTTCAGCTCCTCCTTGATCTGCTGCGCAAGCATGGGAGTCAATCGGTTGCAGGTAGCAATCTCACCGCGACGATCGTACTCCTGACTAGGCCAAGTATCGTGAAACACAATACGGGGCGAGAAAGTAGCATTACGCTTGGTAGATCCGTGGGGAGTGTTTGGTGCGCTCTTGCTGTCCTGTCGTAGCCTCAAAGCGGACATGAAGTAGTCTTCACTGCCAATAGCGATCGAGCCAGTTCGGCGGTGGCCCTGAGACTCGTCGTTGGGAGTGCTAGGGGCACTGGAGTTCGGGGAATCGGTGACAGCAGGAACGCTGGGGAGATCAAGGCCAGGAGAGGAATCAGCAGGGCGGATAGAAGGACTGGCTGAGCCAGGGCCTACAGACTGTTAGCAGAAGAATTTGTAATAAAACCTTCAGACTTACGCTTCAAAATTCCCTTACGGACGGCAGCAAGCACCTCCGCACGTTCTCTGTCACCTCCGACAATACTCTTACGCGAATTCGAGTTGTCAGTTCCAGAGCTCCCAAGACGCTCAGCAATCTCAACACCCAAATTCGTATCAATCGAATTGCGCTCAAGATGGGGGAAGGTATCTGTCTGCCTGGGATTGGCCGACACGTTAACTCGTTGGGTCTCAGCCTCGACAGTGACCATCGATACAGCGGCTTGGCTAGCTTCCGGCTTGACAGGTCCATCAGCAGGAGCAACTCCAATCACTGACTTGGGTCGGAAAATTCCAACAAAAGACCGGCCACCCTTCTTCATACCTTGGCCCATCTTTCGAATCATGATGGAAGCCGATGACGCTGTCGAGGAGATGGAGAGGTTATCAGTTGAGCCACCAAAGAACCGGCCACCATAGATACTGTGTCCAAGGCCTGCAGCCTCCTGCGCTTCCGCGATACGAGCTTGTTCGGCATCGTAGGCTTCGTCGGCCGTTGGGTCCTTGTGGAGTTTGGAGGGTTCTGTCTTATCAGCTCCCTCACCCTCATCGGCATTGCGGAAATCGGCTGCGCTTCCAAATGAAAAAGCGCGTCGCAGTCTGGAGGTCTTGCTCTTGGATTTGCGTCCTTTATCCTTGATAGCAGCAAGCTGTTTAGCCGCGGGCGAGTCTATTTTACCCGCACCTGACGCATTAGAAGATCCGTCTTCAGCGACCTCGCTAGCCATGGTAGCTGGTCTAGAGAGAGGTGAAGGGTTTGTAGTGCGTTTAATCGCATCGGAAGATGATCCTCGAGGTGGGATGTTGACCTTGGCGTGATCTTGCTTAGAAGTGATTTCGCTGTTTGCCTGGGAAGAGGGGCTTCCAGTGGGGGCAGACACATTACGGTTGGCAGACTGCAGAACATCCCTGTTAGCATTCAAGTTTTACCACCCATTGCTGATTGGATAGTGTTTCAAGGATCGTCAACTTACCGAGGATGGTCGAGAGTGACTGCTGCGGCTGGAATTTACACTATCAGAACTTCCGTTGCGCGAGTGTGCGGTAGCGTTAGTAACAACACGCAGTGTTTGGGAATTTCCGTCTGCTTTGCTCTTGTCATGCGTAGCAGGCTTCGACAGGTCAGAATCGGCACGAAGACTTCGACGGCGGGATCGGTTTGAATCATCCATGGGAGAATGAAGAAGTTGCATATCATCCATAGATGTGCCAGGCATGGCATTGTAGAAGCTGTTGGGTCTGTTTGGAATCGCCGAGCGGGCAGGATTGGGGCCATTGTAGAGTTGAGTTGCCGTAGGCATTCCGTTCACTGGGACAGCTGTGCTCTGAGAACGCCCATGCTGGTTTTGTTGAGGAGTGAGTGATGACCGTCTATACCTGTCCGGTGCAGCTTTGCTTGAAGAAGTCGGAGAGGTTGGTTGTGTAGGGCCAGCAAGGAAGGCAGAATGAGGTCGAGGAGCAGGCACAATGTTTCGTCGCTGAGGAATGGCAGAATCATCACGAGCACCCGTTTGGCCAACGCCCATGGCATTGTATTGCACGTTGGTAGCCGAGGAGCTAAACTGGCGGCCGTTGTAGTTGGCATTGTGGTTATAATTCCGCGTCGGTTGACCTTGCGGTTGCCAAGATTGTGTATGGTTCAGGGTCGGTGTGCTAGTAAAAGCGTATTGCTGGACAGGAGTCGAACTACCCCGGTACCCAGTGGGAGAGGGAACAGCATATCTTGGGGCTTGAGCCGCATACTGATGGCCAGCCTGGCCTTGGTTATTGGGTATCATGCTTGTTGAAGAAGACGGTCGGGTCTGGAGCATTGTAACCGTCGCAGTTTGCTGGGGAAAGGTCTGAACCAGAGCAGCCATAGTTTGCGTTGACGTATAACGAGCAGTAAAGCAGCCGTCAACGACAAGCGTGACAACGAGAGTGCTTGTTGAATACCTTCGGTCTTAAATTCGAAGGGTTCGGACGAGGTCGGTTCGAGGTGCAGTATGTTTGCACTTAACAGAAGAGCAACTGTGGCCAATATTCATGTTAGCACGGTTTCCATCAGAAACGGCCTGCAAAGACCAAAGAAAGGTCGAACAATCCGGATATCCCTTCTTAGGTTGCCTTCCCGCAGAGAGCCGGGAAAGATTTGCGTAACCACCTACCTAATTTTTTTTTTCCGGTGATAACTCTATGACAAACGAAAGAAGATAAGGAGGCTGTGATTAAGGACGCCAGCGACCAGAAACAAAGGGAATTGATCGTGCTGAGGAAGCAGCTCACTATTACCGTGAGCAGACTTTTGACTCTGCTACGAGACGAGGTATGCTAATGGAGATTGGGGACAAGATCAAGAGTCGTGACAGACAGCTTGAATCTCGACCTAGTTGTAACGGAACATGAGAGGGCCGTCGACAGTTCGGGGCAATGGAACGGTGAAGTAGACGAGTGAGGCGAAGGAACAAAGTATTACGGAGTTCGCTCGCGAGATGAGGGTTATGATCGACAGGGCAGGCAAGATTTCCAGTGGTCGAGAATCGTCACAGGGGTCTAGAGAGAGCAGAAGCGAATGGCTAAGCAAATGCAACTGCAGATAGAACGAGGCAAGTGTCGAGGTCTGAGGCCAAACGATCACAGGAGACGATGGATGTAGAATGTGCAAGATCGAAAGATCGAAAGCGTTCGAAGGGTTCTGGGAGATTCGGGGCAAGCGACGGCCGAGAGAAAGGGGTACGGCAATCTGGAGAAAGTCGAGCCGGGAAGACGAGGGGCAGAGAAGGCCAAGATGGCGATGGGTTACGGTGATGGCGATAATGAGGAGGAGAATAGAAAGGAAAAGGAAGAAACGACACCTGAACAAGGAGAAACAACGAGACGATGAGATGAGATGGTGAAGAAGCCAACCTGTTGTTCAGAAAGTGAGGTGAGGTGATTGAGAAACCTCAAGAGCCCAGGTGGGTACGTAACTCGTGTTATCCACACGCTAATAATGCATGGGATGGTCCTAGTCGGACTTGCAGAAAAGGGACCCCGTGGTGCAGAAGCTCACTACATAACAGTGGACTGCCAAAGTTTGTTTTCTACAGGGCACAGACAGCAGTAGGGTCCCTATAATTTAGCGGTCCAAGACCCAAATTCCGGGTACATGACCACCCCAACGCGGCCCATGGTGGAAGTGATCTCGGACATGCAACCCTTTCGACATGAACGTGACAGCAGTGTGGTTGCAATCTAACGCCTATTCAGAAAATAGCCTCGAATGAGGATTGATTGCTAGGAAGGAAGAGGCAAGTGACAGCCGCGATTCATCTATCTCCCTCAAAACATCCATCGGCTCTTGGGTCTTCTTCAGCTTGATCACGACAACAATAACACAACCTCACGCGTTCAAAGACAACGTATCAGGCTGGTAACTAACCGTTCCGTAGTCCTGGAGATACATAAAGTATTGTCAGCATGCAGGGGACAAGGGGCAAGACGTCGTAAGCCAATTCTCTCCGTCCGTCTGGTCTGGTCTGGTCTGGTCTGGTTGCTGTTGGCATCTCGAGATGGTCGATATTCACACATGCCTCTCATGCACCCGCACTCGTCCTAAACACGAGGTGCTCGTGGAGCCATCCCAGGGATTCCCCAAGTGAAAATCCCACAACTCCCAGGAGACTTGAGCGGGTCTTGTCAATGCCAGAAGTGCCAGTACGTTCACCATTGGTCACCGCTGCACTGAGCTAGCAGGGAGCCTGGTTCGGTAGAGTGACCACGTCGAGAGTCTCTCATCTCTTGCTCGCTCTGTTCTGTTGTGCTTTCTAGGCTGGCGCGAGAGAGGCAGAGAGCATTGATCCAGGAACAAACTCCTGTCCGTGTTAGTTTGATGGCTTTTGCCTGTGCTTCCTCTGCTGCATTGCCCAGTGACCAGCTGACGGGACCGGGAAGGGCTCAAACATTGGTGCTGTCTCTGTGCGAGGCTATATTGGTGCTTGAGATGAAGTCCCTGAATTTATTTCTTTTCCGTCCCGTCGTCGCTTGTCGGCGGTCCTATGTCTGCTGCCGTCTCAAACTAGGAGACCGAAACGGATTTCGGGGTCAAGACAGCGACTACGGACGGGATACATACTCAGGGGTATGAACGTTTTCCGGCCGCTGCACAAAATACTTGCGTGTACAGTACTGTACTGTACAAGACATACATACACATCCATGAATTGGATCAAAGCAAGGGACATTCAGGGGATAAGCCTGGCTTAGTAACTGATCCACGTCAGACGTGCCAATCACCAATGGGCATCATAGACGTTGAGAGGATCAACATTGAGATACGATTGATTTTCACGCTTTAGCTCCTTTAGGGGTTCGCGCTTGTGTGTGTCTCGTCTGGAAAGGGTCATGGCTTTTTTCGGCTGGTTCTTTCAGGATGTGACTTTTGAGCCGGACAATTGATAGCGGCTAAACGTTAGATCGAACCAAACAGTCTGGTATCGCTTGGCGTTGTGTTTAACATACATAACCAACACCTCCTGAAGCTATTCTGGCGATATTAACAAATATGTAATCAATCTGACAATGACTCGCCGTTTCCAAGGAGGAAACAAATATCTCAATATTTCAGTAAACAAGACTACGCAGTCGAGATGTGTGTGTGAACCCACCCAGCTGCTGAATGAACTTGTTTTAACTCGGCCAACTTTCTGCAACTCAACTCTTATTGTTCGCCCTGCAAGATACGAAAACACCAATTATTCCTTCAGCCGCAGCCATTCTTTTCAAGTACCCGCACTTCTGGGATTTCTCTGGCACACGATTGAGGCCGTTGGCTCGATGTCGGCAGAGAGAAGTGTCTCATGGCTTGCAGTCTGCAGTAGCTTCTGCAGGATGCGTGGGATCTGACATCAAAACATCCGATAAGTCCAACTGGTCCAGTACTTTCAACGGCCACAGCGGGACACTCAAAAAGACCCCCTATGGGCCGAAGACGCGAATTCAGTGGATCTCGAAGGGGGAAAAAAAAAACAGAGGCCCATCTCATGCACGATGAAATCGTAGACGAGCCCTCGACTTCTGATAGGAGGGGATTTGAAAAGGCATGTTTTACAAGCCGACACCATCTTCTATCACTTTGACCCTGAGAGACATTCCTATGCTTGACTCTTGCTGCCATGGAGTCTCTTTCAGCTCACCACAATTGCTGACCCTTACATGGCATAGGTATTCTCCCTGGCATTGCTTCTCCTGTCATAACAACAGCTCACGCATGGTACTGGAATTTTCCATGACAGCATGATGTGGTACTCCAGTCTCCTCGCCTCTTCCAAGTACGCAAGAATAGTAGTTATCCGCGTATTTTTAGAATGGGTCCGCAGGTCGTCAATCGCGTACCCACTGAGTAACTTTAGTAATTGTGCGTGTAATTTTGCTTGATGGATGTGTACAGAATTACTACTAAGCCAAGAAAGCCCGTCAGAACTTGGAAAGGATCAGGTTTCTAGCATGTCCATCTTGTTGCAGAAAGGGAATGAATACCGAAAGCACAAAACTTTAACAGAGAAATTATTACTGACGAGAAACCTGATCATGGATTGTCCTCACCGACAAAACACCGTCACTTACATTCCGGTCTTTCTTTGTCTGACTCAATTTACGGGTCTGGGGTAGGTTGAGAATGACAATGGAGGAGACATCCTGGACATTTCCAGGGTTGAAACAAGCTCGTAGGCTGGGGTCTCAATATACATTCTGAGACAGGCACATTAAATTCTGGCGATAACTATTTTAGATTGCTTCATCATGCTTATTGCTGTATATTGAACCATGCTATAGAAACTGCGCCTCATGGAGCAGAAGCAAGTCATACTATATAGATCTCCATTGACCAGAGATAGAAAGAACTGAGATGAACCCAAATCTCGGCTCTGCAACAAGCCAAATGTGTGTTGTTGGGGTCTTGGCTGCCGAGGTTGTTGTGCACATCCCATTACACCACTGCTTTAAGCCTTACGAGCAGTTGCTTTGTGGGAGAAACTGAGTATAGTCCCCAAAGCAGAGTTTATACTAAATATGTTGCTCAGTTTGCCACCGTAACTTGTGAGGCTCCTTTCTCTGGCTGTCGTGGCTGTTTACTTTTTTAAATCAGCCTCAACTCAATTAACCATCAAAGCAAACTCCCGCCTTTGCCGTTCAACAACCCTATGGCCCGTCTGGACCGACTAGATTCCAGGTTCGACCAACAATTTAGACAACTAGCTTGGCTGTTGCATTAATCTAAAACTCATTAAAGTGCTCGTCTCCTCATTCGACGTCTCTAGCTCGATAGACGCAATCCAATACATACGCACAGGCTAATATGCGAACCGTTCTTCGGTACTCCAAAGAAAAGCGAAACTGCTTGGGTAATGCAGATCAATCTCTCATCATCCGCGATTTAATTACTGGGAGCACGTAACAGCGTCTCAGCTCATGGGCCACAGCGGCCAACTGCGTTGAGATTGGCGCCGTTCCCCTATGTTCAGATAGATTACACAGGGATATGAATTCATTTCAGTTCTCAGTACGACTTGGATATCTTCCAGGGGTCTCTGAAAACCTCCTAGCGTTGTTACAACAGAGTAATTCCCGCAGCTAATTGCCGGAGAATGCTGTACATAGTCCACTATCCCCGTGGGCTGGTTGGCCGCCATTGTCTATTCTCCAATTTCGGTGAAGTTGTCCTAACTGAGCTTTCTCAGAGGGAGGCCGACGACATGTTACAGATACATCAAATGATCGACATTGACAACAAAGATTGATTGAATGCAACACCACCAAGTCTCGGGCCAGCTTGTTAAGTGGTCCTGGTGGAATTCGATCACAGTTTCTCCAGATTTCTGAACAAATCCATTCGTGACAG